AAAGCTTAGTATTGAGCACATTTACTGCTTGACATTTGGTGAAAGTTTTTGTGTGTGTGTGTGAAGTCAGAATTCATTACTTTGACTACAACAGTGCTGCTTCAATGTAGATATCTAAGAGGGAGAATAAAACGAATGTGAAATTGACGTGAAATCTCCGTTTAGATTATTATAAATACATACAGAAATCGATGTTCAGTGATATGAAATTTGAATTGACAATAGTTTAAGAAACGTTAGCGGATTGAGTTACTTTTGCATAGAAATAGTGTTGTTTTGACATAAGAACCAAGTGGTTTAGATTTTTTATTACAACAGTATTTATATAATGATTTAGGAATTATCATTTCAAGTGTACAGTTCCCCATTCTATCCAGCTTCTGTTGAGTGCCTTACCTGATGTGTACACTTTGCGTTTCACGAGCTCCAAAAACTCGCAGTCAGTCAGTTACAATGTGGAACTTGATGCATATATCAGCCAGTCTGCCATAACGTAGAACTTCGTACGTAGGTCTATCAGTTCAAGCCGCAAAACCTCATTAGCAAAAAGAGATGAAATTGTCAGACTGAATCCCAGAGTAGTAGAGGTAGTAACAGTATTAGTGGTAGTGGAAAGAACAAGGAATCGAAGACAAGGTTGAAAGATATACAAATCAAGGGAATAAAAGAATTATGGGTGATTTAGACACATAGAGGTTGGGGGAAGACAAAGAATGGATGCACCTGCACCATTGCTAACACTTTTGAGATATCACTCAGTTTTTAACCATTGGTTACGAGTATCACACAGACCCCAAACTGGTAGTCTAAAACGGCTTAGTCAAACTGTCAGTCACCAGATAGAATGATAGTGTTTTGAATTGGAAAAAATTGCTGAGCAGTGAAGTCGTCGTTTGTTGATAGACGGATATTTCGCCTACGCCAGAGGTGAGGCAAGTGTACAAAAGCCAATCGGACCTCCTTAATCCATGCCCAGATTTCTTCGGACACCAGACTGTTGGGGATTTTAAGATGCGTGAAATGGTCGACATCTTACCATACTTTACTCTCTATCACTTATGCGGGCGCCAATGAAGGCTATTCTTGAAACAAAATTTTTCATCCCATCAGTTGTACTGTATGGAATGTGCAAATATAAGACTATTGATAAGGTAGTAAGCAGTGATAAAAAATGGCAAGGTAACAATCATAAAAAGTAAATTCGTAGGGTTTTTCGGACACTACTAATAAGAAAACCGCAAAAAGAGCACCGCCTTTGATTCTTAATTAAATCTAATTATATGGTTAGTGAAGATCTGTAGGGTAAAAAGTCAAACACTGTTAAGTGCTAGCGTTATTCTTTTTTCGATATTGCCTCAAAGATTGGGATATTGTAGCCATCTTAATAATCAGTAGCGACGACGCGGAGGTAAAAGGTGTATGACACATTGAAATCCAACGACACCACGTGATTTGCCGTCGCAAGTCAAAACCAACCATAATTTGATAATAACTAAGAACCTACAACTAAATCAACTTTATCTCTACCGAAAGTGTTAAATTATATGGAACAGAGGAGGAAAGCCTAATAAGCAGAATAACTAGCTCGCAAAACTATGTGCAATTAAAGATCAAACATGATGCCTGAGGATGCTAGACTACTGAGTTTATTAGAAAAGATATCTTAGATACACAAATCGCGATGTGAATATGTTGACATGTGCAAGTACATTCATGAGTCTCATTTGAACATATACTGCATGTTTAAATGTAGATAAACTTGGTAAAAGCGTATCGCATACCATATGGGACAGGGAATTTTATTTTTTATTTTTACGCTTGTTCCTGGTTTTTTTTTAAATGTTAATATACCATAGCTCTTAGGCCATATTCCCAAGGTTAGAGAAAACCAAACGCAATAGCTTTGAAGTTGAGGTTGTAATCAAGGTCATAGATACTTTATCAGTTTCAAAACATTATCCAATGCTCAATAACTGAAGAAGGACCAGAAAGGAACCTGTTACATTCCAGTTTTCATATGAATTCATTTGCATAGAAAGTTACTCCTTTTCTCGAGAAGTGTTAAAGTGTTTTGCGTTAGAGAATCGCGTGGAAAATCAGCAAGAGGAAAAATTAATCTGTGAATAAAAAGTAAATATGCATCTAACAGTTGAAAAAAATAACAGTTAATAATTGTGCAGCCGTGTTATTAAGAAAACATAGAGTATAATTTCATTGGTATTATTAAGCGACAGACTTACAGAGTACCTATCTAGAACTTTATGAACAATCTCTGGCCTTAGCCTTGCTACTCGGTGATACTGACATTAGTTAAAAATGTCAGCAAGTCAACTGGTTTTGTCGGTGATTGGGTAGATTCTGTAATAACTTCACTCAGTTCAGAAGTAAAAAGCCGAATTGAATGATCGGTTGTTGCCAGAGACCTAGAGAAACAGTAAGGACCCTGGTATTCAAAGTATACTATGCTGTCTCTATTGATGAGTCTCCTGATAGGATGAGATACGGGTTCAGCCTTCCAATTATTGCCAGTCCGTAGAAAAATTATGCTATTAACGTCGACCTAGTCTTCAAGAAAACTCTAGCCATAGACATTTAGACTTCAATGATAACAGTTACAAATGGTTGATGAAGAAATAACTTTTTCAAAGGGCATATAAATTGAAAACAACATTTCTAACGAGATGAAATCAGTTACAACTTCCACGATCATTTTCATTACTTTGAGACATTCTATAAGTCTTGATCAACTGCTATTTTAAAAAACATATTGGTGATCACTTTTTAGGTTTTCTTAATAATTGAGAAAATTCTCAATTCATGTGGCTACTTTTGATAGCACTATGCTCTCCTAGCTGCAATATCATTTTGTACATCTTCATGTCTTATTTCAGAAGGAAGTGACCTTTTCAGTTATTGCTTAAGTGCCCAATCAATCAGTCATGATAATTTTGTCGGTGACCGATTTTCTTAGTAGGTTTTACTTACTTCATTTATAGTAGTATAATGAAACCATGAGACACAATGACCTTTTATGTATCAACTTGTGCTGAATGCCACTTTGAGAAATTCGAAATACTTATCAATCTAAAACTAATACAGTGAGATTGTTAATTATTCATTGTTTCTAAAATGAGTGTCCTAAAGTCTAAGTGGAATCTCATAACCTTTTGTAGTTAAACTGTGTCGTATGTAGAAGCGTCAACCCCAAAGATACTTGAATAATTGATAGTTTTCATTAGGAACTGATTTCAGCCGAAAATATTCGTGATTGAATTCAGACCAATTTGTAAAGTTAAATGCAGCTAGATTGTAAATAGGGGAAGACTAGAAGGTTGTTTCTTCTTAGAATGAAACTAATTAGACATTTGTACTCAGCTCAGCACTAGACAGTGGACCTGACTTTTAAACTTTGCCGTCATAAAGATAAGTCAACAAGACAAAAGTAAATGGTTCATATTTCTGTCCGTGTATGTGGCACAATCATCAGGTACAAAAAACTAATAACACTGTTGTTAGACTCTAAATAGATTTACCAACTATTTCCAGAAATCACACTATATCCCGAGGCATTCTTTTAT